CGCCGCTGCTGAAAAATGAAAACAGACCCATTTTTGATTCCCCAGTAGCCCAAGTTCCAGACCAGATTTGGGGGAGCTTGCAATTGGCTCATATGTAATGAATATTTGCCATCATCCTTTTCTTTACCTCCAAGACCTGTTTATTTAGGAACAAATCAAAAAATCCAAAGTAGCGTTGTTTGTGCCAATACAGGCTACTTCTCATGCCAGGATTCCGTTTCATGCGGTAAGAGCATCCACAACGGTCCACCTACTTTGCGAGCCCTGGAACAGACCCCCGATCCTGATTTTGTGGATGTAGGGGGTCAAAAAAACAGGTGTCCACAGCAGTGCACTTGAAGTCAGGGGCCAGAACTCAATTGAGTGATATGGTATGCTTGTACCATATCATCTTGTTTCAAGTGCTGTTTGATACATGACTATATCGGTCACGTGGAAGCAGTGGCACGTGATATTGGGAGCCCCTATAGACCTCGCAGATGTGGGGGGTCCGGATGGAAATCTGGAGGCCCCCGACGTCTCACCCCCGATTGTGCGAGCTCCGTTGGAGTGTTTTTTTGCGTTTTGACCCCCTACATTGCTGGGGGCCCGCAAAGTAGGTGGACCGTTGTGGATGCTCTAAGTCCCTTGCTGGGGCTCGGGCCTTTGGCAAGGGACTTTGTTAAGTTTGGTTGTGAACAAGATTCACAATTTACGGTGGCCGAGGAGCGCCAGTTGCGCCAAAACGCCAAAACATCAAATTGCCCCATTTTTGCCCCGATTGGGGCCCTGTCCAGCGTGCTTGGACCGGTACCCCACGGTATTGGCTACTTGATTAGCCCGGGGGCCTCCTCAGCATCCGCTGAAAATCTGTTTTGGTACAACCGGCAGCTTGCCAAACTACGCTTCAGCAGGTGAAAGTAACAGCCACACTTTTGTAGTAAACTTGTCACATCCATCATCACTTTCTTCTGATATGTTGACTATTGCAACAACAATGGTGATTGGCCTTCAACCTAGGGCACATTTTTTGACAGACCTTGTTGCACTGGTTACCAAGTGTATCTTGCGTGTCCAGATCACGTGCAGCACATATCAGCGAGTTTGTGATGATTTGTGCAGTAACTCCCTGAATGATAAATGTAACAAGGGTTATCAATCTAACAAGAACAGACAAAGAATGTAGCAAAAACGTAAGATAAAAGATAAGAACAATGAAAACGATGAAAACGATAAACACGATATCATATAGATTTCTTTGACCAGAAGTTCAAGTTTTAGAACATGTCAATTGATGCCTCATAATGTCTCCATGCTTATGTAAGAGTTCATACAGAAGATTCTCTTGATCATGCAATGAAGGAAACAACAATGGATGAGATTTAAAAACGGGGTGAATACCAAACTTAACTAAGTCCCTCACTGGCTCTGTGCCAAAGGCCCACTCGAAGAAATTTTGGAGTGAAAGTGGAATAGCCCGGCAAGTGAGAGGGCGACCAGAGTCGGGAGGTGACAGTCCGAACAGGCTGGACGGGGCCTCAATGGGGGCAATTTGACCTAATTTGACATTTTGTCGTTTTGTCGTTTTGGCGCATGTGGCGCTCCTCGGCCACCGTAACAATTCGAGGAAATTTCGAACCCGGACACCAAAATTCCGCTCAATCGGGTTTCAAACGAGTTGATTCCCGCGGTGTTACCTTCATTTCACATTTTCAATATGTATTCAACCTGTGTATAAAAATCTGATCAAATCATCCACAGAACAATGGCAATGTTGAAAGACCGCTGATTATTTCAAGTTGTTGCGTCGCTAGACATGGTGCTATATACTATTACAGGCAAACACTTCTGTGTTTCACTTCCTCTTGATCTCTTGTCTACTTCATCGCGCGCTCCTGCGTCAAAGTACCCTGTGCCAAGTGACTCAAAGCCAGGTGCTCAAAGCAGGGCATATGTCTGTATCTCCTAAACACTCTACCCCTTGCGTTCTTAATGAGAAACTTGGTGATTTTAGACTCATGAGTCTTGTGAGCCTGGGTTGGTAACATGGGGACAGCTCAAAATTATTTGATCCATGAGAAGGCCCTTCAAAGCTTGATCAATTGAAGACTGACGAGACAAACAAGATATCTTGAAGAAGTCCAAATCCTTCGATGGGATCACTCAAACGTTCACATTCAGGAATGTCTTCAGACTCAATTCCATCTTCACGCACTCAAGTCAATCTATCATCTATACCATTTGAACTGAAAGAGAACATCTCTCACTGGGTCCATCATCTTCCTTCAGCTCAGCAAATACACCAAAACCAACAGAGCAATACCGTTGATGACCTTCGGAATAGTCAACATCAGGAAATTCGACGTCGTCGAAAATTTCAAAGAAAAACTGACAGTCAGTGGATTCATTTAACATCACCATCTCTTCCATCTGCTTATTATCCTTATCCGATCACTTCTTTCTTGAGTGCTCTCAACTAATTGGAATATCACATAGTTTTGTGCTTCTGCCTCATATTGATACATTATGTACTGACAATACCGCGTGTTTTTGCTTTTACAAAGAACTTCCCTTGATTGATATCCGATCACTTGCCTCAGTTGATCGTACATTCTATGAAATATGTTGTCCTTATGTCTTTGAGGTAATTTGTGCCTCTCATCATCATCTGCCTTGTCTCTTGAATAAGGAATTGATTTTGATGTCTGTTCCAGGCTTTCGACTTCCAAGATTATACGGTCGATAGAATCAAGTTCACACTGGAAGAAATCGTCAACAAGCATTCAGATCATGTCAGAAAAATCGGGTGCAGAGTCCCCAGATCCACTGTAGAAGAGTGTAGAGAGAATGAACACTTTAGCCATAATGTACGTTGGGATGAGGGGTGGGATCCACAACATGATCCTAAGAGCATCCACAACGGTCCACCTACTTTGCGGGCCCCCAGCGATGTAGGGGGTCAAAACGCAAAAAAACGCTCCAACGGAGCTCGCACAATCGGGGGTGAGACGTCGGGGGCCTCCAGATTTCCATCCGGACCCCCCACATCTGCGAGGTCTATAGGGGCTCCCAATATCACGTGCCACTGCTTCCACGTGACCGATATAGTCACGTCTCAAACCGCACTCGAAACAAGATGATATGGTACAAGCATACCATATCACTCAATCGAGTTCTGGCCCCTGACTTCAAGTGCACCGCTGTGGACACCTGTTTTTTTGACCCCCTACATCCACAAAATCAGGATCGGGGGTCTGTTCCAGGGCTCGCAAAGTAGGTGGACCGTTGTGGATGCTCTAAGTTGCGATCGGAGGTTTTACTACAAATCTTAGATTCCTGTCCTCATGTCAATGAACTCGACATCGATCTTGATCCTAGTCTTTTTACACCTCCTAACAAAGGCTCAGAAATGTCGGATTCAACATTGGATATGTCTTCTCCAAAACCGTCTCTTGACAATCAAATGCCAAACTTGTGGATGAAGACAATCTCTCAACTTACTTTACTTACTCATCTTTCCTTATCATCTCCTATCAATCGATGTTACTACACAGAAGCCTTCTTGGTAGACATCATCTCAAACCTTTCAAACCTTCAAAGTTTTGCTTGTTCAAGAATTGATGCTACTCATCCCAAGCCTCTGGACGATCAAACAAGTGGACAAGTCTGTCTTTCTCCGCTTGGACTTCAACTCGCTTCATTCAGTCATCTCGTTGAATTGGATTTGGAAAAGGCGAGCTGTATAGATTCTAGTTGGAATCGACTGCATTGGAAGAGTTCTTTGCAAGCATTATCATTAGTAGATTGTAATCGAGTGTCACTATCATTTTTACAAGGTTTTCTTAAACTTTTCGAATCAACCTTGACAACACTTTTGTTATATTATGCACCGTATCATATCGGTCGTATTCGCGAATCAGATCCGATTTTTCAAGACTTGATAAATGATGGAGTTCAATTCAAACTACCTAAATTGACCACTTTACTGACTGCAAACACTTTACCCATAGAATTTTTAAAAGCCTTCAAACCTTTCATCAATTTCAATAGGTGATACTCGTCATTATGATTTTCAAGATTTAGAGGAATTGATTCATGATCAACTTTGGCCCAATCTCAAGAAGGTCGAGATCACAAATCTAACTGGTTCGCTTACTCCTGAAGAGATCAAAAAGTTGACGGTATTGCTGCAGGGAAATGGAATTGAGATGACATTTGATGATGATGATGGTGATGATGATCTTGAATTTGATCGGGGTGATGAAGAAGAATGGGAAGCGGATCATTGGTGGATTCAAGGTCCTGATGTTCAAAGAATAAGGAGAACACAAAGAATGAGAGAATCACGAAGAGAGATATGATCAGAATTCAAGTGGTGGATCTTGAGTTTTGATACTTCATGTCCATGTCGCTTCAGAAATGTGTATAAGATTGAAAAAGCGTCTGAAATATTCAAAACTTCAAGGTCATTAGCTAACTCACTTGATGTTATGGTCTCTTGAAGAGCCATGTTACTCTATATCTAATTTCTCATGGCAAAGACCTCTATAGATCTGTTGCACTAGTGTTCAATTTGTATTATTCCCATCTGAGAATTCCTGAAAAGATAGGCAGTGTACTAAGCTTAACGGGCGCGAGTGTTAAGCTTATGATGCAAGAAACAAAAAACTGATGAATTGCTGATAAGTTCATGTATCAACGCTCCAAACTTCTCTTGAAAACAATAAAACATTCAATCCACCCAAAAGGCTATTTTTGTGATGCTTTTGATAGGATAAGGGACATCCAAGTATATCAAAATAAGACACATCAAGTACTAACCTAACTAAGCCCCTCTCGGCGAGCGAGGGACTGAATTAGGTTAGCATCAAGTATGTCTTTCAATGAAGCTAAGAAAATAGTTTTCTCCAGAGTATGTATACCATTAGGCCCAACAAAAGCTTACAAACCTTTTCAATCACACAGAAGAAAAGGGTGATAGATAAACTCAAGATCTGATTCTAATTTCATGAAAGAAATTTGCAACAATCATCAAATCCATCCCTCCTAATTCCTTGCAAAGAATGATATATAATATATAAACAACAAGATTTTTTGTAGAAAGACAAAAGAAACATTTCTCATAAAACAATCTTCTTGAAACATCATTCCTAGTTCAAGATAAGAAGATATAAAATCACACAAAAAAGGCAGTGTATTGGAAAACCGAAAACAAACTCATTTATCCATCGCAAAAAACCAAACAAAAAAAGAAAATTATAAAGTTGAAAAATCAAAAAGTTCACATATACATCTACTAGACCTAAGCATAGCATCAGCAGCCTACAGACCTTCTTATATCTCAAGCATTGTTCATCACATCCCGCATTAATTGATCCAGGCGGTCCTCTAGCACATTGAAACTTTCACTTATTGTCTGCTTCGATCTCCCACTACCAGATTCATCTGGACCTATCACCTCATGATCTGAACGTGACTGGCTTGATGATGGTGACTGATACCAACTCTTGATTTCATTAGAGATACTTGGATCCTCTTCAATGTTTTGAATCGGTCCGAATAATTCCTTCATCATCTGCGACTCCGCTTCGTCCTCCTTCACAACTTCTTCCGTCGAGATCCCATTAACAGTACCATCAGTTTTGATAGGATGTGTTTTGACTCGAGTGCCGACCTCGTTGATAGGCGTTGATCGAGCTGCTCTATCCCGCATATGGCCAATCGTACTGTTTCCTTGCGGAAATGCAGAGTAATTAATCAAGTTCATCAACACATCCAGTCCAAAGTCATCACGATAGAGGAGGGGATGCCGATGTGTGGATTGTCTGCTATCAATTCCCACACCCCTCGTAGCTGAGGAGATAGGTGTGTAAGTGCTGTCTCCAGTTGGCGATGTCGCAGTGACGGGCGTCACCGGACTGTTGGTCCCAGTGGTGGAGTTGGATCGGCTAGAATTAATGGACGCTTGCAAAACCTGGGACTGTGTCTGAGCAGCCTCTTGAGATGATAAGATCTGGTCTATAGATGGTGCTCGCGAGTGATCGAGTCCTACGGCATTGGGGGCCTTTGGCGCATCGGTCGTTGAACCCCCTGATGGCGAATACACATTACGGGTTGGACTGAGACGAGAACGGGAAGAGGCCAAGTTGGCGTTCTCCGAAGGTGTCTTATTGTCCAGCGATTTGGCAGGTGCAACGGTCGAGTTCGCATTGTGATCAGTCCAAGAGGAGATGGAAGAAGATTTTCGTGAATGGCTTGAGCGCGTCTTTGAACTGATCTGCCGATTTGTCTTTACTTTCGCAAGTACTCGCTCAATCCGTTTCTCAAGTGATTCTACGTTGATGGGAGGACAGCCAGGGGTTGGACTATCTTTAGACTCATCTGGCATTTGAGAGAGGGCCACTGCAGAGAGATTTCGTTTGTCCAAGGCCGCCATTAACAAATCCTGGCGCTTGTTATCTCGAGTTATGGGTTGTCCTGCCTCATTCGTGTCGTTTAGTGTGGAAAGATTCGGATTGCCAGAGGAACCAGCTTGATCAATTGTGAGTGGAGCGAGACGTAGAGCTTCGATCGCTTGTTCGTCTTCATGTTTGTTGAAGGTAGTAGGAGATTCAACGCGACTATCTGCCATCACCGGTGATTCTGGCGCACTTGCATAGCCATCATCTGTCATAGAGCTAAGGGAATTTTGGCTTGAGGATCCGTTCTGACGACTGAGTTGTCGCCTTTTCTCAACAACACGAGCTCGTACGTCTTCAGTTGTCCGGGTTTGAGCAGCTGGTGTGAGATGAGGGGTCGGACTCCATTCACTTTCTATCAGTTCGCTAATGTCAAACTCGGTACCGGCAGGGTCAATGTAAGAGTAGCGGAAGGATTTCCCACTGCTATCACGCTTGCTACGGATAGTTGCATGATCATTCAAAGTGATGTCAACACCCTGGTCCGAATTGGGAGTTGCAGAGAGAAAGGCTGCTCGTCGATCCGCCATCATCTCTGCTGGCGACCCGTTGTGCCGCGTTAGACTGGTCGTAGCACCTCCAGGGCGTGAAGAACTTCCGGACAATCTGTTTGAGGCTCCTGAGGCAGATTTCTTGGCACCCATCAATCCGAGCTCATCAGCTACCGCTCCAGCTAAACCTGTAGAGCTTCTGTTAGACTCTCGTCTGGTGGGATGGTGTTGATGTGATGCACGCCGAAGGACGAAGACAGGATCTGTATTTAGAATATCTTGCAGGGATCCAAACACAAAGGAACCTTCTTGAGACCGGCGGCGAGATTCTTTAGAGCTTCGATCAGGTGGTCGGAATGCAGGTGGGGTTAAATATGCATCCAAGACCTTTGAGATCAACGGCACAGCTGCCTCTGATAGACCGTCATCAAACCAACGTTAGCGATACTCTCGACTGCGGCACGAAAGTAGAATGCAAGATTTACCTGAAGCGTTGCCAGGAAGCTTGATTGAGAGTCCGTATCTGACTTTAGATACACTGCGCCGCTTACTGACCTTCTCCTCAACATCGTCACCCCCGTCCACAACTCCTTCCGAGATGCCGAATGCGTCCAAGGTGTGCTCGATTGCCTCAGACACATTGATGTTACGAGGAAATAACATAATCTTTTCCCTCATAGTCAAGCTGACTGCTGAGTAGGAGGAAGCGGAGGAATTGGAGGAATTGCGTTTTCCTCGTTCATTCAACACAATCTTGGGTATGATAGCATTGGATTGAGGATCAAACACTACACCATCTGGAAGATCGTTGGGGTAAATTTGGATGCGCATGGCAAAACGCAGAGAAGGGGAGGCCATGGGTGAAAGGATGGATTGGCCTTGCTCAACAGTGGTGGAAGAGCTAGATGATGATGAATTGGATGTCTGTGATAGTCGGGAGTCCACTGGCTCAGATCGTATGGCGCCATCCGCAATGATGGTGCCCTTGTCCGAAGCATTGTCATCTGTACCTCCGGAAACGGCCATGTCTTCTTGAATAGGCTCTAGAACACCTGCACGATCATTCTTCCGGGACGAGAGAGGCTTAGTTTTTGGAATGACCTTTTCTTTCTCTGTTCCATAGCTATTGATGTAGAACTTGACAGCTGAGTCATCACTAAAGTCACTCATGCCTAGTCGTGAGATTGCTGGGTTCAGTGATAGGTTTGAGCTAATCGAGGATATTGAGCCAACCGAAGAACGCTTGACGGACGGGAGTAGTAAGCTGTCTTGACCCATAGCCTCGTTCATAGCCTCGAATACTTTGAGAGGTAGTTGTGATTCGTCGATCTTGTTTTCTTCGCCGCTAACAACATCTTTGATTGTGAGATAGTAAGATGACTGATATTCTGGGTCAGATGGCAGGTGGAATCTCTGCATCGCTTGTACAATTAGTTCCGTGGTAGTGGTCTGTTCACTCAACAGAACAGTTTTGAAGGTGGCTTCAGCATCTACATTCTCACCCGCAAATATTCTTAGCACATTCAGCATGGGAACCTCCATTCCTGGTACACTTGGAGAACCGATCAGACTGCCTGGCCTCAACCGTTGAGATGTGGCAAAGGGAGGAGAACCTAATCCGTTCAACGAGCCAATCGGGCTCAAGGGTGAAAGTGGGCCGACAGGAACTGCTTGGGACGAAGGTTGCATCGGTTGACTAGCCGAGATCTGAAGGGCAGGATTTTTACCAGAGAACGTAGTCGAATTGGCGGAATCGGACGGTGTACGGGAGATGCCATATTGACGATACATGACTTCCTGAGCTTCAACTTGCTGCTTTTTCAATGCAGCATCAGTAGAAAACAAGTCGCTGGTACCAGCTCGCATGCGACGATTTGGGCCCGACGCACTGGCAAGATTGCCTTCGATGGGTGGCGAGTTCATTGAATTCATCGATTGGTCAGATAGACTAGAGGGAGAACTGCTAGTGACACGTTCCGCTTCGTCACTATGCTCGTTGGTAGATTTTGCGGTCTTCTTATCTTTCTTCCGCCCGAATAGACCACTCAAAAGACCCTTCTTCTTCTTACCGTCCGGCTCATCCTCCCTTTTGTCTTTCTTTGAAGCTAAGCGTTTCCCAAATCCGCTCTTACCATCCTCAGAACCACCTAAGGAATCATTGGAAGCTATTGAAGCGATTGACTGGGCGCGTGGCCCTTCGATGGAAGCAATGGGCTGTTCATCTTCCTCATGGATGCGCGGGTCTGTCGGGGTAAATCTACGCAAGCTGGTACTGGCTTCTGATGTCGATCCTGAAGTAGATCTTTGTCGTGTCTGCATCAAGAATTCAAAATGAGGTCAAGAGTGAGATGCGATGAGGAGCAACACTGCGGATACAGCGCATTAGTCTATGAGGGGTTGAAAGCCACTCACGAGATGAGGAATATTGGAGGGTATCGACTGAGCGTCCACATGTTGGCTTTCTTGCGAGTCGCGTGCTATGTCGGGTGTCAAGGTCAATTTCTTGGTCTCCCCGCTCACCAAGGAGTTTGGGTTCAATTTCAGATCGTCATCTGGGACAGCCTCCTCAAAGGCTTTCATCATCTTCTTTTGAAGGTTCTGGGTAGTCTGTTTTGACTGAGGGGTGCTGGCTGAAGGTTGAATCGAAGCAGCAGTAGTGTCGGAGGTCACAGCAGTACTAATGATATTTAGGCGATTCGTTTGTTGAGGAGTGACGTCTCTAGACTCACTGGTATCAATCTGGCCGCGTTGAGCAGGGGAAATTCCTTTGCCTAATTGACTTCGACCGTCATCTTTATGTGAATTGGCGCCCCGTAAAGAGTCAGCAGATGCTTTGGCAGCCAGTCGAAGTCTGGCCCAGCCACTTGTGCCAGTACCTTTCGAACTCTCGTCCGTCTGTGAGTCTTGTGTTGAATGTTGCTGGTGCTGTTGCCGGAGCTGAGCCTGTTGCTTGTGTTCTTGAGTGAGTTGATCTTCAAGTTGCCGCTGAGCATCAGGTCCTTGTCTGTCACCTTTGCGGCCAGATATGATTTCAGGACCAAGCTGTGAGCGGGAAGTGTCAGTAGTGCAAATCGTACCTTCTTGCTCATCCTCATCCTCATCTTCAGTTTCTTCTTCTTCGTCTTCAAAGCCCTCCTCACCCTCTTCACCGAATTCGCCTTCGCCATCCCAATCACCCTCCTCGCCCTCCTCTTCGTCCCCAGACATTTCTTCGTCGCCTGTTTCACCAGCACCATCATCACTCCATTCGTTGCCACTGTTTTCAAAGTATGTTGGAGCGGTGAAGGCCACTGTTTTGCCTTTTCCAGTACCAGGTGCAGGTGCAACAGGAGGGGGAGAGAATGTGCCAGGTCCTGGCATAGCAGGGGGGAGAGGACCTTTACGAGCATCTTGTGGTGACCTCGAACGTACTGGGTCACCAGCGCTTGGGATTCGTAGTGCAAAGCGAGTCTGAGCTAGAGATGAGCCTGGGCCCGAGATGTGGTCATTTGGAGTAGCGGATGACAACTGTTGAGAAGAAATATCGCGTGAGACATGAATAGAAGTCAAACCAAGAGCAGCTGTTGAGAAAGTGGAAGCGAGTGAAACACGGCACGTGGGAGTCTACTAACGTCCACATTTCGATGCTTATTGAGGCGGGCAAGGCGTTCAAATGGCGTTTCGATGTTTTCAGCAGGTATATATCCTACAGCCTGAGTTTTGAGGACTCGAATCAACCACCAATAGGAGTTTGAATCATCCAGTAGTGTCAACTGGTCCCCCTTAACCACCGACTTTAAAAACGATGAACGAAATAAAATGAAAATCAAGATATCAGAAAATGCAATGCTCTGAGTGTTGCCTTGAAGCTGAATGTAGGGCACATGTACTGACAGCTTGACCATCCACGGTAGCCAGAAAGGTGTGAAGCGCGTAGACCAAGGTGAAGTCAATATCGTCAGAGCTAGGAATACTAGGGCTAGAGCTCATCGACACCGAATCACTAAAGCTCGAGTCACTTGCACGATCGCCTTCGTCATCGATCTCCATCCCATTGGTAGTTTCTTGTGGGTCGTTGGATTGAGATTGAGCAGCTTGCTGCTGTTGCCTTTGTTGATTGAGTTGCTGTTGTTGCCTTTGCTGAATGAGTTGCTGTTGTTGTTGATGTTGGAGAGCGCTATGAGCATCCGTCATATACAACTCATCATCTTCATCATCTTCATCTTCGTCCGCGTGATCATCTTCATCAGAATGAGAATTCTGTCCAAGCTCGACTGATTTTGTGACTTGAGAAGCAACTGAAGTATAACGTTGGTTTCCTGAATAATAATATTGCGGTTCTTGGTCATCGGATTGGATAGGTTTCTGAGAAGTGGTAGATGACATTGAGTCAAGTGTAAAGAAGGTTGATCGTGTCAGGATATGTCTGTCGCAAGGCAGGATGTGATGTTGTCAAGTTGACGTGTTAAGGTTGATTAGGGGCAGTATGGTGGCTCCGAATGAATTTGACCGAGACGAAGGCCAGAATGAATGTGAGTGAAGGTATGAAGTAGTATCGCATTCACTGTGACCATATGATTTGTAGCTTGAAATCTTGATTCTTAATCAGGCTGAGCAGAGTTGAGTGAGTTGGCGTTTCGTTTGTTTGTACTGACAGTTACAAATCACCCGATTGAAAACTTTAAGCTGACTTATGATTCAGATACCGTCATACAAGCATAGGTAGGTCTAACTTAACTAAGTCCCTCGATGCTGAGACAGCTGTCAATCAACGAGTTGAATCAGCATGTCTCAGCATGAGGGACTTACATCTAAACTCAGCTTTTTGGCCTGAGGGGTAAGAAATCCTTTGCAGAGGAAATCTTGTTTTTCTCATTTCCGTGAGCTCACCGAGGAACATTTTACCGCGCTTCATGGGCATATGCGCTGGCTCTCGCTGCATAATGTACAACTTGATTGATTGAAATTCCTCGGTTGTTCACCGAGCTACATATCTTTTGATTTTGTCATTTTTGTATGTAGCTCACTTGTAGCTCACTTGTAGCTCACTTGTAGCTTGGTGTTTCATCGAAATAAGTCCTCGACTTAGCAGAGCTACATGTGAGCTACAGGTGAAAATCACAAAATAGTAACTTATGTAGCTCAGCAAGCAACCGAGGAATCTCAATGATTTCACTTGTACATTTTGAAGAGGAGGTCGGCGCATAACCCCATGAAGCGCGGTAAAAAGCTCCCCGGTGAGCTCACGGAAAAGGACAAAGAAAGATTTCCTCTGCAAGGAAATCCTTACCTCTCCGGCCAAAAACCGGACATTAGATGTAAGTCCCTCATGCTGAGACATGCTGATTCAACTCGTTGATTGACAGCTGTCTCAGCATCGAGGGACTTAGTTAAGTTAGAGGTAGGTAAGGTTTTGTATGTACATATATGGCAAAAACAGTTAAAACCTCCGCCAGGACTCTAATATTTGGTGAAATTGAAGGGCGGGAAGGAATTGATGCTAATTGATGATTTGAATGTGAACCGGATGATCACAGAACATTAAAAAGCTCAGCATACATACAGTAGTTAACGTCTACTTTGTACTACCTTCCGACCAGCCAAATGAAATCTTGTTTTTGAGATCAAAAATGACTACCTCAATGACTACCTTGTAAGTTGATAACTAGACAAGTACATTAAGGAGAGTAAGTGTAATCTATCTATATCTCCTTGGGACCATCTGAGGCATTGATAATTTTTTTTTTCACTAGATGGTCAACATTTGGGCCCAAGCATAAGCTAGGCACTTAAGCCCCTTGGGTTAGGTACATAAGGTCCTAAGCCAAGTACTTAAGGTCTTGAGCCAAGTACTTACGGTCTTAAGCCAAGTACTTACAATCTTAAGTCAAGTACTTAAGGTCTTAAGTCAAGTACTTAAGGTCTCAAGCTAGGTACTTATAGTCTTAAGTGTCCGTGACAATGTGGACTTACACAGACCGGGGCCAGCTATGTGTCAGTGGTCCTGTGGTAGACCCAACGGGCTTACCAGCAGGGTAGATTGTAGGGAGAAGTGTTTGACCCAGGTGTGATGCAAGCTTTGCATATGTATCACAAGTTGCCTTGAGAAGCTTTTTGATACTCTGATGGTAGTAGGCCTTCGCCCCGGCCCCGCAGTTCCGGGGACTCCCCGGCTCCCGTCCCCGCGGGGTCGGGAGCCGGGATCAGTGCTGGAAAGGAACGATCGGCGGGGAGCTTGCGGGGGCTGGCCTCGGGGAAGCTGGAGGGGCTAAAACGCGCTAAAAGCAAGGCCTGCACAGCTAAATCTACGCTGCGCCCCCGGATTTGCCGGGGATCCCCGACTCCCGCACTTGCGAGGTCGGGATCCGGGACCAGTTTTTGCAAACCTTTTCACCGGGGAATTTCGGGGGCGGGCTTCGGGAGAACCGAGAAGGGCCGGGGAGGGGCCGGGGCAAAGGCCTAGATGGTAGTGTATAACATCCTTTCTTTGTTAATCTTCATTAACCCAACCATGTTCTCAAACCATATTGGTTTGCCCTCACTTTTAATCTCTCAACCTCCAATGATGTATATTTGGGCTATTGTTCACTTTCAAGAATTCCTACACAATCATGAACCTCATTTTGAAAGTTCACACTCATTCACAAGGTCATTCTAACAAAAGCCAAGACAAAAACAAGTAGAGAAAAAAAATAAAGTAAACAAAAGGATCAAGAAGAATTTTTAAGGAAATGACAAGAAAAAGAGCAGGAAACAATGTAACAAAGTCACATCACGTATAGCGGGTATAGAAAGTTTCCAACCACTACTTGACCCTTGTACATGGTTTTTTTTTGAATCCATGCCAAAAAAAATAAAAATCAGAAATGCCTGACAATTGGGCCCGGGGCCAGCCCCGGGGCCGCCCGTAGTCAGGTGTAGCACAGAGTAGACTTTAACTACTGTATTAGTGCTTGCACTTGATTTTTGCATGACATTGGAAAAATAGAACTGTAAACTTTGCAGTACAACGACCATTGCCTCCTCGGATGTGTGTGCAAAAGGCATAAAGATTGTTGAATTTTCATTGGTTTTGAATGATAAAAAGATGTTGTTTAACCTTCAAGATATTTTTGGATAGCCACCATTGAAAGCTTTTCACACATATCCTTAAATTTTTCATATGATCAAGTTTGAACCTTGGCAAAATCCTTGGGCCAATATGCAAAGCCCCTTAAAAAGCTTGTATCAAATTTGACCACATGGAAGGCTTGTCCAGTATATGTTTCCTTACAGTTTATATAGTTCACATCTCACCACTTATTCAACATGATTTTCTCTCATTATCCTTCCAAAAGAATCATAACTTGAGCAAATTCATTTGAAGTAGTCAAAATTCAATCCTTTTCTTTTACGTACAAAATTCCCCAAGAAAACCTCTTGATGGAGCCATTTCTTTATTTGGTACATGTTCAAAAGAGACAAGGTTTGTATGAAGGTTGGGTACAGGCTTCTATCCAAGGTTCAGTTTTGCTAATCACCTGCTCACTTGAGGAGTTCATGGTAAAGGATGTGGTCTCCTTAAGTACATTACTAAAGCTTAGGGGGAGATGGCAAGGTAGTCAAAGTTTTCATAGACCACTGAACCTGGTACTAGCTACCCCCAAGCAAACAAAATAGTTGATCGACTCGTTCCCAAAAGGATTTCGTTTGTAGGATACCGGTGAAGGTTCTTACCTTTTGAGCGAGCTTTAGAGCCCATTTCGATCTATCTTGTCTGTACTAGACCTTGGGTACACATCTAGTTGCACATATCCACAATGATAGTGATGAGTTGATGAGTCGGTTGGTATATATAAGGTGTCATCAGATAGCTGACCCAAGGAAGAAAGCCTAAGGTCTCCAGCCCTCCTCTCTTCACCGAGGGGGTGCCATTCAAGTACACCCAAATGCTGGCCTCCAAGCAAATTGCTGAGGGTCTGGGTGATAGGGCTCCAGGGAAAAGAACACTTGGACCAAGATGTGTCTGTTTGTGAAAAGTCCACCCTACTGATCATGCCTCACAAGACCGCCAATCATTTGATCAGTGTACTGTTGATCATTTGTGACCACTTTTCATTCTGCCACTGTGTACTTCCTAACATCAAGATAGAAGCTATTCTCATCATCCAGATTCAACTAAATCAACTCCTTGGTTATACCAACTTGATTACATTATTGAGGAAATATCAACCATAAAATGAAAAAGTAACGAGATCCTTAAACATCTATAAATAAATTATATTGAACTCAAGTTTCAGTGTTTTTCTTTCTTCAATCTTCCACTTCCCATAATCTAGACCTTAATTCAAACCCTACACTTAATGAAAGTTGTTGAGCAATTGGTTCTCCGATTCCACAAACCAATTTGATCATTTCAAATCTTTCTGAATTTGAATATCCACTTTTATTATTGGATTTATTGGATTTGTTTAATAAACGTGATTGAATTAAAGAACTAACCTATAAGTTCATTCAAATGAAATGAGACGATTAGATGAGTTGAGGCTTATAAAACGTGTTGAAGATAAGATTAAGAAAGAGAAATTTCAAGTGACCTGTTGTAGGACATCTACTTGTGAGAAATTCAGTCCTTCTTGGTGGGTTATTGCATTAAAGATGGCCATTAAACGGCTTAATGGGAATGACTTTGGTCCCAAAAGTTGTTGACGTTCTCGTACCTTTATAAACGGAACAATCATATGGGTAAGATAAGTAATATCCATCTTCAACAGGCTTGTAATTTCTGATACGCACTTTGACTGCCTCACCAATCTTTGGTTTGACTTGTCTAGCTCTTCTACCTCGATTAGTACCCACTTCGTCAAACGTCACAAAAAGTCGAGCATCGCTCTTGGCAGGATTATAACTTGTGATAAAACTAGCAATGAGCAGATAACGAGATATGATAGGTAACGATAACGAAAGTGTATCTTGAGGTTGTTGACGTGCAGTAAGAGGTGGTCCGAATTGTGGATTATAAGGTTTAGAAGGCGAAGCATTGATTTTTGAAGGAGATTGATTTGACAATGAGGCTGGTGAAAATATATCGAGAAAATGGCGAGGTTTGGATGGGGTTACAAATGGTGAGATAGGTGGATACTTTTTACTTGTTCCCTTTGATGGAGAGTCTAAAATATTAGGAGGTCGTACTGTCAAGTCTTTTGATGAACCCACGCCCAAATCAATAGTTGTGGATCCTTTTGATGGGGTAGGTTGTACTGAGGATGCGGGTAATGCTAATTCTTTAATACCTAGATCACCATTCAAGAATGCAGGAACGTGCCAAATCGCACGACCGAATTGTTGTTGCTCAACCTCAATCATTGATCGGTTCAACAAGATTAGTTTGGCAGTGTCGTGTGGTGAGACTGCCAAGGGATGAGAACACAGCCTCGAGTCAATGATCGTAACGTTAAGCGAAGGAAACCAAGTATCAAAGGCAAACTCAACATTCTCCATCTCTTACTCTTTGACTCCAAGGAAACCAAAGACGGGAGATCAGACAGGAAAGTTCGAATAGATCTGATGAAGTCTGCGCTTGAAAGGCTGATACGATAAAAGAAACAAATGGTTCGAAGGCTGGAGTGATGTCCCTTGTTTGATCCGATGATTCGCCGATACCGTCACTAGTCTGATCACCTGTCTCAGGCGGTCCTTCATCAACCAAGATTTTGATCAAGTCTACAGAAACAGGAGAGCATATGAGCATGCTTATCCTAGGTCTTAATTTAAGAAAAGGGATTCTTACGTACCTTGTTCTGAGAGCTTCGGAATCAGAATCACTGTAGGTTCAAGTGCTCCATACCGAGGTCTGACTTTTGTCCAAGGCAAGTGAGAGAGGAAGATTGTGTGAACCGGTGATCGACTCTACATCAAGATTTCACGTGAATAAATGAGTGTGATTGATAAAGAAGAGGCCAAAGTTCTAGAACCAATAAGTGTGCTAACAAGTTCAGGTAAACGACTAAATGCAGAGATCAAGCTTGGCTCTTTCCAATTTCTCATTCTAGCAGCTTGATCAATGATAATAAACTTTGGGCTTCTAGGGAATGATTTCTCTTCTCCTGATACATCTTCATACTTGAGATTAGATAAGGTACGAAGTCCATCACAAAACGCGTCAAATGAATCATTTGTTTTTCCAGATAACACCCCTCGGCCCTTTTCAAGTGGAGGCGCGTCAGAATTCCAAGCTAGACAATGTGTTGATGGTGTAACTGAATTTTGAAGAATGTCGTTGATTTGAGGTGAGATAGCTGATTGAATAGGATGGCATTGAAGTCCATAAGATCGACCATTCCAAGTAGTACTACCAGCATCCGACCACTCAGAATTCCATCCTGAAAGTTGATTTAGGATTCGATCGTAAAGTGATCGAGTGTTTTGAATTTCAGATAAATTGATGTAGGCGTATGATGGAAGATGAAGTTCTAGATGAGAAGATGAATGTTGATGAAGAAGTTCTTTGATGAGTTGAGAAGTGAGTGAATGATTTGAAGGTGAATGAAGATAGATAGAAGAAGGTGGATAAGGAGATTGAAGTAATGAAGCAAGTTGATCGATTGATGGATGTAATGAGTTTAATCTTTTCAATTCAACCCTCATCGTTCTTTCTTTCTTTCTTTCTTTCTTGAATCCATCCCTTTCCTTTGTGTTTTCCACATTCACCAGATCCTCTCAACACGCCCCGAGTCTCTTCCAACTAAACCATTATCCGGACCCGATTGTATCTTCTTTTCGATGATCAGGTGAAGAAACACTCACAAAACCCATCGGATTCCATCGATCGATACCATTGAACAAACACTCACCTCACAAACTATCAACTTCAATGAACGCGTCTACCTCTTCAAGTGCCATGTCTTTGAACTCAAGTAATCCCACCAAAGTCCTTTTGACACCCGAAGTGATGGTAACTACACTCTTCCTCACTCACGATTTTTTTATCAGTACAGAGCTACATAGCCAAAGATATCAAACTGTGTTTCTTTTACGATTTTAGTGTAATTTGAAAATATCAAAAGTCTTTCGTGGTCATAATACGGGATGTCGTCCATTTACTTCTTTATCTTTTGATGATAAAGGTGAACATTTGATCACGACTGGTGAAGATGAAACTCTTCAACTCTTTGGTGCTAGGAATGGAAAGTAAGTGTTGATTCAATCATCTTGAAATTCTTGACATTTTTTTTCTAATCTCATTTTTGTTTGAACTTCATCTTAGACATTTGAAACAAGCCTTTTCTAAGAAATACGGTTGTTGTCTGGCGCGATTTACTCATAAATCTTCAGCTGTCATTCACGCGTCTACCAAGGAAGATGGTAAATCAAAGATCATCAATCCATCATGTTGAGATTGATGACTGAAATGTATGCGGGTATTTTCCAGACACAGTGCGATACCTTTCTTTACATGATAATACTTACATCAGATACCTAAAGGGACACAAGCGCAGGTGAGTAGATGAATCCTGAATCTTGTTCAGTGCCTTTTTTGATGTGTTTTGACCCGGTAGAGTAGTATCACTTGAGATGTCGCCACGTGACGATACCGTTTTATCTGGTTCCTTCGATGATACTGTTAGGTTATGGGATTTGAGATCACCTTCTTGTCAGGTTAGTCCTCGTTTATCAAGTGCAAAACCGGGTCAAAGGATATCACGCTTACCTTCATCTACCGATATACAGGGTGTACTCAATATAGCTGGCCAACCGTGTGTAGCATTTGATCCTTCTGGATTGGTATTTGCTGTTGCATTGAACATGAAGCAAACCATCTTACTATACGATCTGCGGCAATTCGATTCTGTTAGTCTCAACCTACCTCAATCAACGATTGGTCATACTGATCCATGGTCATATTGATCCATGCTCCTACAGGAGCCGTTTGTAGCAAGACATATCCAAGACCCTACCCTTTCGAGACAGATGTACCCACCCGCTCAACCACCTCCTTTCACTTCCCTAAAATTTTCCAATGATGGGTCTAAGTTATTGGTTGGCACAGCGGGTGATATACATTATCTGTTGGATGCATTCACCGGTGACATTCTAGCACGTCTTGAAGGTGCGAGTTTTCTACAGCTCATTGGTATCCATACTGTCAAGGGCCGTGTCTGACCTGTGTTGCGTCAAATCATCTCGATGCCTCTGCTACGCTCACCAAGGTCACCAAGGGCTAGAAGCTACAATGAATGAGATGGAAGCAAAGGGTCCGATAGCTTCTTCACAAGAAACAAGTTGGACACCGGATAGTCGATACGTATTCTCAGGTAGCGCTGACGGTAAGATCGTTGTATGGGATGTTCAACCTCCAAAAGATGATCCAATTCACGCCACAAGATCACCGCAAGGACCTCATACAACATGGCAACCATTGAAAACTTATGAAGGACATTTGGGTAAGAATCCAGCCAGATGTGTTTCTTTTAATCCTCGATTGGGTATGTTGGCAACTGCTGGTAACGAGTTGGCATTTTGGCTACCTGGTAATTCATTGGATGATCGTGATGAACCAGAGGAAGTTGATAGCATGCAATCATAGATTTCTTTTGTTAAATTGTACTTCACGTCAATCATCATTGTTTTGGCATCATCAGTAGATGCAATATTTTGGATTTCTCTGATTCTGTACCTGAGTATCGAGTCAATTTTCAAAAGTAAAAGGTCTTGGGGAGGTGGGCTGCTTGCAGTGATGCCAGCCTCAGAACCAGGCCTCGGAACATTCATCTTGAATTTTTTATCCTCACACACACTCAGGCACTTAGCAATTGGAGCTGGTATTACTTATCATTACAATCACATTTCCTTTAGGAGTAGGAAGTCTTGCAAAATCCGATTTATTTGAAACCACCCAGAAGAAGAAGAAAAAGGTACAGCTATTTCATTAAAAGTTGGACATTGAGAAAAAATGAAAAGGTTCAAATTTCAGTTTTTAACTGAATTCAAACACAGCAACAACTGCATTTAGAGCACCCACTATGGGTGCGGTAACTCGGTGATTTATCGTAAGTTTAGTGCTAAAATCTAGACAGGTCCACTATGGACCTGTTTTAGACTTGCAGTCCCTACGACTGCATCAAATCTTGCTTTCCCCATGTTTAAATCTACGAACAGCTACGACTTGATTTATCGTAGGATAATCGGTCAACAACTGTAGTTTTCAAAACCCCAAACTACAAAACATCACAATTCATTCCTTCAAACCTCATCCTCAAACTTCAACACCTGAACTTCAAAGTTTGAATTTTAAAACTCATTCAAAATCGACGTTCGAATTTCGATTCGTATCTGGCATTTGGTGCGAAGTAGTCATTGTAAAGTTGCTGACCGCGAGCAACACGGTCTCCATCTATACGTATACGAGTATGAGGAAGGGGTGGCGGTGGTGGGAGCTCATTGAAGAGGCCGTCAAAGACCAACTGGTCATAGTCCTGCTGCTCGTCATCGTTGTTTGAAGACTTCAAAAGACGTTCGATTTCTTTTTCAAGGAGCTCGGAGCAGGCATTTGGTGATTTTTTTTGGATGAAATTTATGAAAGATAAGTTATTTCATTTCAAAATTAGACCACTGTGGATCTGGTCGATCCACAGTGATTTATCTTTGGTAAAGCAGACGTTACATCATCCCATAGTGGAATTCATGCGTTTAACAATTTAGTTGTTACACGCATCATCAAATTTGGCGCTCAGGAACGCAAAATCTACGATAAATCACGCCCACCATAGTGGGTGCTCTTAGGGGATACAAAGTAAAAACTGGGAGTTTTTTCCCAGTTTCCCAGTTTTTGTTTTTGGCTGTAATTTGGAAACTGGGAAACTGGGAAAAAACTCCCAGTTTTCTCTACTTTGAATCCCCGATCAAACAATTTTTCACCTTGCTTGCCCACTTCACATCAACTTCGATCTCAACTTCCCTTCGGTCTCAACTCGCCAGGTCACACTCCTCACTACACACTCCTAATTCAGATCGATATGGTCATAACTTTTCATCATCAACCAAGGACAAGCTTCTGAAAATCTGAAGTAGTCAGCTCAACCTGATTCATACCCAAGGAATACACTCAGTTCTTCTTTTCAATCTTTTTTTATTGAAACATCCTTTCAAAGTCTTGTTTCATGCATTCAACAAAGAAACAAATTGTAAACATTCTACAAAATCCAAATTGATGTCCATCTGAAAATCTTGTGAAAAAACATATGAACTCTTCACTTCTTTACAAAACTCTTTAGAAACTCTTTCTCATTTACAGATCATTGGATCTGTATGATGTGTAGAAATTTGATTAATATGGTCTATTGCTTTTTAACTATTGATGGTGAGAATTGATAGAGTTGATGAAAGCCATTCAGTTTGACAATGTTCTGGTTTTGATAATGAGAATTTTGTCCAAAAGAATGGATTTGAGGTAACGGATCGAGATCGATTAACGGTATCTGGAATTGATCAATAAGGGTCACGTTGAAGTTGAGTCGACAGAGAATCGGTCTCTGAATCTGAGTTTGTGCTCAGATGTTATCAATGGATAAGGTCGCTCTTGACCGAGTTGCATGCAGCTGGGTATAGTTGTGAGTGAAGGGCCTGAATAGGATTGCTTGATGTGGTGTTGTGGGGCTGGGGCAAAGTTGTGAGGACGTGGAGCCCAAAATTTGGGGCTCTTGGGTTTTTCCCAGTTTCCCAGTTTCTGAACTCGAACTGGGAAAAAACTCCCAGTTTTTACTTTGTATCCCCTAATTGTCTGGTTTTCAGTGGTGAATTTTGAAGTTTGGTCTGCTTCCATTCCTCACTTCAATGTCTATCAGAATGGTCTGGCTAGGCTTGTCTACGTAGACAAGCTGTTCTCCGTAATCATACACCACCAGTGGTATGTATTTCAAAGATGGTCTTAGGGTTGCCCTAGGCAAACCTGAAACCTCTTGTGATGAGAGACTCTTGGTTTCTTGGGGTGCCAGGACCCAGGAATGCACCTGGTAATGTTCGTGACAAAAAAGGTGGGTTTTGAGGCCAAAAAATCACAGATGTTAATGACAAAAAAGGGTGTTTTTCTGCCTTTTTGCCAAGATGTATGTGACGTAAAAGGGGGGTTTCTAGGTGCGGTGATTTGATGTACGTGTTGTGAAAGGTGATGTTTTGTGTTAGGTAGGGTTAGATTAGCTTTCTGCAGCTTTCTGCTTATGGTCACGGTATTTTTGAGCCTGGAGATTTAGCCATGTAGAGCTAGCTGGAGCGGGGGTACCGGGATCCACAAGCTTCCACAAGAGCTTGAACCTAAACCTTCCTGAAAATACCAACTATACCAACACTTTGCCTCACTTCACACCAGTTCACACCTCTTTGCACATCTTCTCCGCAGTTCTCCACATACAATCACACTCAATCACATCCACTATAAACTCAAGAACCTACAAGAACACATCAAACATGTTATCTTTTGAGCAAACATTACAAAAAATTATAAACCTCTGCAACAAATGTCCCATTCTTTGTGAAGGGACAACACCTGACTTCAGCGCAGAACCGCGCAGAGTGGGCTAAACTGCGCAGCGTCCAAACTTTTGAAAACATGCTCTGTCGCTGCGCAGCGCTGAGGGCGCAGTGACAAAAGAAACGATAACCCCAGCGGTGGGCAAAGGTGCAGTTCAGCACAGCGCAGTAACCTCAAAACTGCGGTAGGTAGGCCAAGATTCACAAGAGCGAGGTAGAGCGAGGTAGAGCGAGGTATTGTAAAATGGGGACAATCAGATTTTTGGGAGTTCCGAATCTGATGAGCTTACAGCGGAATAGAACAGTTTGAAGCGGAGTACGTAGAAGATCATTTTTGATTTGAATTGGAACATTGAAAAGTTTAAATCGATTAGAAGATTAAAAGGGTTTTAAAGAACGTTACGAAAATAAAACAATGATCAAAAGCAATTAAGAATGAGAGCAGAAAGAGGCCAAAGATGGCCGAGCATTCATTTGCTCGAGTCTTGGGCTTTCTTGTTCTTTTTCAAAGTCTTCACCAGTTTGTCTACAGCCACAACAGCTTTTCCAATTTCACCACCTGGATAAAAACCATGCTTGAGCCACTGACAGACGCCTACCGCGCGTTCGATTGTTCGTGAAACTAGACCACCACGACTGGTGGTACATATGTGAGCTGCTGTGCTGAAGGTCCTCTCAACAGCGCAAGAAGTTCCAACACAACAGAGATAGTCTCTCGCAAGCCTAGCGAGCTTTGGGAAGTTCTTTTGATTGAACTGAGAAGATAGATTGATTGAGTACCAGTAAGTGTGTGTATTAGGAAGAAGGAAGACTTACTCGCCACCATTCCAATATATCGCCTTTACAAGGTATTTACCAGACATGTAAAGGTCAATCTCGTCATCGACAGAGAGTTTCAGACCCGCAGATGCATGGAAGGCACCTTTCTCTTCAAATGGGTCAGACTCCTCAGTCGGACCAAGTGTAGAATCAAGATTTTCATCTTGCTCTTCGCCATGTGGCTCTTCAAGGGATCTGAGTGTCTGACGAAAAAGTCGTTCAGCATTCATGGCGTATTCAGGATACTGTTTGGTGAAGAAAGTGAGACAGAAGTTTGGGTTGAGTATGGTTGCCAATATGATGGGGTCGCAGTGTAACGCTTCGGTTTGGTACAGTCGCAGCTTGCTAGTCATCGTGGTTATCATTGATGAGATGCTTGGATGAGGTGTCGCAGTCTTCTTTGCGGTCAATAAGCTGATTACAGTGGAGTATTGGAAGAGCACCGATCCCGCGGTTGGTCCGTCTATCTCCATCTTCTTGGTGGAACGAAGAAAAATCTACACATTGACCAAGAGAGATACAAAGTCAATATTCCCTACTTGGAGCAAAAGAAACTTGATGTGTACCTCGAGAACACTGTTCAGTGCCTCGACTGCCTTCCACTCATCGGGAGATATAGTGATCCCTTCGTAATACCCTTCTTGATCAGATGTGATCATGAAATTGATAACCTAAGGATGGCAATTGGAACAGAGAAGAGCAATGAAATAATCAATACATTTCCATTTGTAGAATTTGACTATGTACTTACCTGCTTTGCTTCACAACAGCGCGACTGGGCATCGTACCAGATGTTCCACCGCTGGCCATGAGCCCCGATCAGTCCAGGGCCCTTATAAGAGAGTTGGAGTGCTGAGTTCTGAAAATGATTGATACGAGGAGCACTTGATGTGATCAACTTGTTGACCCTTCGAATCTAGGAAAAGATGATTGATCAAATCATTATCAAACATATGTAGTGGTGGGATACAGATCAAAGGGGGTTTACCTTGGTGAGAGCACGTGGTAGAAGATCGGCTTCTGGATCTTGTGTTTTGTAGTCGGGGCCTTCATCTTCTTCATTGCTCTCGGCGTCTTCATCACGAGCTAAATCTGTGATTGGATTCACATCAGTAAGATCCTCTGCGCCAGAAACTTCGTTGTCCTTGTCCTCGAGTATAGTACCGTCCGAGAGCACTATCTTTGGGGGTGGTAAGCTGTCATCAGGCAAGAGTAAATGAAGTCTCTTTCCACAAGGGGCTGAGGGTTTTGTTTGGCCGGATCCAAAGCCAATCGTGTCCAATCCAGCCTTGACTGTGAGAGCCAATTTATGACAATAACATCGTATCTGAGGTCGACTTGAGTTCCAATAGACAGGATCATCCGCATTCTTGAACATCTTTTCTAATTCTTTGGCTAAAAGAGGATTGCTTGATCCTGAGTCCGTTGTTTGAGCAACCATGTGTGACACGAAACCAAGGTAAGCTTTTTATCGAGTCAAAAAAACATCATTGATATGAAAGAATGGAAAGAACATATCTTTTTATGTAGTCCATGCCGTATCAGGAAACGTCCTACAGGGCGTGCGAGTAAAACTCCATAATGATTCCACGCTACAAGCTTAAGGGTCAAATGAACCATATGAAAATGAAAATCTTTGTCGATATATGACACAGCCACACCAATGAATGCTCGCTTTCCACCCTTTGTGGTCCAAACATCATGAACTACACAGATTTTGGATGATAGATCCTGGGAAACGAAGCCAAAGTCAAAGCCAAACAAGATCAACATCAGTTACACAATCAAGTGATCATATAGATCGAGCAAAACTTATCACCTGAAGAGTCTTGATCAGCTTGTGGTGGAACTCCTCAAAGTAGTCCATCGCCTTCCGAGCTGCCCACGAAGCCGTCCATAGCTTGGCTGATGGATTGCACAGCGCAAATGCAGCCTGAAGATACGGATCTTCCATACGTAGCCAAGGAATGCAGTTGCGAAGAAGCCATAGAACTAATATGATGTTGAGTAACGAAACTGAGAACTTTGGTAGATCAAGGAAACCATCAAGTGTGTGATTCTTCTGAACTTCTTCCTGAGCTTCGGCACGTGCTAACTCCGCCTGCTTGTCCTGCCAGGTTGGTGGGAGATTTGCCCCAGCCTCGACTGCCCGGTGGCGTTGTTTACAGTGATTGCGATTGAGATCACCATCTCGATGGCCAAGAAGATTCCAACGGCTTTTGCGGCCATCGGTGTATGCATTACCACACCACAAGCATTCACGGCACCTAGGTGGTTCGTTTTCTTTCTAAAGGATTTGTCAGATTAGATTTCTTGACAACCACGTAATTGAAACACTTCTACTTACTTGCTTTGGTCCATGTATAAGCTCCTTTCCAAAGTAGAGATTAATTGAATCAAATCCCTGTTCACCAGACTTGGTTTCGCCTTGAAACTCAATTTCTGAATCTTGGTCGGGGTCAATATTATCAGGAAGTTTATATAAAGTCTAATAGTACCATATAGTAGTCAGTCATGTGATGAATTTGTAATGAAACGATCAGACTTACATGTTTTTTCTTCCCACTTTTGGTTTTGGTTTTGGTCAAGGTTGAGGTTGAGGACTTTGAGGCTTTAGGCACTTGTCGAGTTCGTTTACCATCGGTTTGGGATGGTGTACTATTGAAAGAATTCTCTCCTGGCTCTTCATCTTCAACTTCTTCCTCCTCAACTTCCAATTCCTGATTATCTTTGTTGGGGTCGAAATTTTCATCATCTGAGTCTCCATCAACTACAACAACTGATGCTATATTATTAATTTGTGATTGAGTTTGATTAAGAAAACTAGTATTTGCACGCTTTGCAGACTTTGTGAAGGGGTTGGACTGAGATGACAAAGTGGAAGACTTGGGTTTCTTTGAAAGTGGAGCTTTTGATTTCTTAGAAAGGGGTCTACGTAAAGTCATTTTGAGATAATATGATATATCTAAACAAAGATAGTGGCTAGAGATTTATTTGATAATTCAGAAGGTGGTGGTCTATCGAGCAAAAGTGAGAGGAATTTGAGGTGAGGAAGATCTCATGAAAGAGCAAGAGAGCGTGAGTGAAGGAGGAGACATCAAGAGACATTTCCCAACTCTCATTTTTCTCCCTATGTAATAGAGTTTTGGAGGATATTGGGGTAATATTGGACAAGATTCTAGCCCAATGGATAATGGATGGGGCCCAAAAATTGTCTAATGTATCAATATCTTTAGCGTTGTTTATGTACATATTGTACTCTGCTTTAATGTTGCAATGTAGCGCAGGGGGCGCAGTTTTGATCAATCCCATAGCCACTGTGGTGCAAAAATGCGCAGTGGTCAAAATCAGAAAACCCACTACGCTGGGGGTAGGCGCAGTGGGGAAAATTCTCAAAATCCCCGGCGCTTGGCCACAGCGCATGCGCAGACTGCGGCGCGCAGGGTGCGCTGGAAGTCAACCGTTGGAAGGGACTTGCAAAGATCTGACCTTTGAGAAATTCTCCAATGATCCAGTTGCTGATGCTGATGAAGGAATGTGGTACCCAGTCAACTTAACTATTGATGCCGTATTTGGTAGCGACTGTGTCAAACAGAACATATCAAAAGGGATCTTTGGACTTCCACTGGTGGTTGAGTGGGTCCAGAAAGCTCAAAAGCATCACACTTGGGACAGTGATTCTGATAAGCTGATCAAGGTCAAGCTGGACAATATGATATCCACACTCAAAAGTGAGTCTTCTGCAGTTCTGTATGATACAAGATGAGAGAATATGTAGGGTGATGTAGGATAAATTGCTTATTTGAATCAATAAAACTTAAATCTGGGCCAACAAAGGGGTCCAATGCTTTTGGTCCCAATGCTTTTGGTCCTTGGCCCATCGCTTTTGGCCTTGTGCCCAGTCCTCTTAACAACTAACAAAGTGTTCCAACGCTTTTGGTCCCGTGTACAATGCTTTTAACCTTTGCTTAACAAACTGTTCCAACACGTTTGGTAATGCTTTTAATTAAACAATGACATGCGGTCTCTACTGTTGCAATGTCAGAATGCTTTTGGAATATGTAGTCCTTTGTGTTGTGTTGTCTAAATGCTTTTGCAAGCACATACCTCACCTTTCATACGTCGCCTTTCGTGGTGGTACTACAACTTGGTTCAAAGGAAAATTTTCACTATAAATACATATCCAATGCTTTTGGTCCTTGGCCCACCCATCGGTCCCAATGCTTTTGGTCCTTGGCCCATCGCTTTTGGCCTCGTGTACATTAAATGTAAATCACAATATGTATTATCAGATGCAGGAGCTGAGGATGATGAAACCAAAGATCCGAATGTCTCAAAACTGGTTGGTGGTACAAAACGGCGGGTTGTATCCAACCCAAAGACATCGACGAATCCAAAGCCTCCAGCCAAGCAACCTAGGACGGCTTCTACAAACAGCTCAAGCACCATTGTTTTGTCCTCTGACAATGAGGTGGTAATCACAAAGGTTACCCAAGGCTCCACTAAGAAAGATCAAAAGCAGATCCAACAAATGAAAGTACTCACATTGTGCCCATTATCAACCGCAAAAATACCTGCAAGTGATGCAAGGTAGAGTCATCTCTTGAAGGCAAAGAATTCTCTTGCCATTGTGGTGCTAAGACGATTTGGCTGGAGAGTGGTCGTGTTAGATTGGCAGAAGCTCACTGGGCTGCTGGTGAGTCATATTTTGGTGGTAATTGTATTAGGTTTTGAGGCTGATCTTTGAAAATGATTGCAACAGCAACTTGCAAGGACAAAACTTACAATCTCACAAAAACTACTCAGTTGACTTCTTATTTTGAGTCTTCATCAGCTCCTAATCCAAATTAAGTTTTCCTTTCATTCTCTTTACCAATACTATGATTTCTCACTACTTTGTGTGATGTAGGACAGCTCAGGTGCCTTTCCTGCTCTTGCAGAGATGGCTCAGGATTTCCTGTGCTGTTCTGCAACCACTTGTTTGTGTGAGAGGGTATTTTCCAGAGCAGCCAATGTCTGCAGGTCTGATCAAATGGCATTGGAAAGTGCAACCATTGAACAACTTACTTCATTGTGTGAATGGATAAAGGCCGGTTTCAATGTTTCCTGAGAGTTTTCTGAGGCCTTGTGTTGGTTGTGTATCTAAATACCAAAAAGAAGGACCTCCCGCATGACTTCGGGTCTTCTCATACCCCGTCCTTCGGGTCATAGTTAGGTAGTGCTTTTCTCTGCACTGAGTCTTTTGCGTCTTCGCATTCCATGTGATAAATTATGCTTTTGCTATTTCGCATGGCCCTTTTGCCTCTTGTTACCCTCACTGAGATATTGTGCTTTTTCTAGAGTGCTTTCTCTCTTTGTACTCGCGTCGCATCTACTCCTTTATAATGTTGTGATACTTCCATAGTCATCCTTTGTTTGAAAGTGTGCTGTTGTTGTTCCTTTTTTTCCCTTCTTTTGAATTGCTACTTTTCGATTTTCTTTCTCTTGCATTTCAATCGCTGCCAAAGCATGCTGATCTGCGTTATTGTTATGGAGACCTCATTTAGTATGTTGAATCTACTCGCTAAGTCTTTTCAGCTTTGATCGTCTTTTGTCTTATTACATGATACTCTTTTTGCTTTTGCCTTTCAATATTTCTTTGTTGCTTTTCAATTTGTCTATTTAATGGTCAATGTTTCAGCCATTCCCCACCAATATTTAATCAACACATTTTTGTTCCAAACATCTACATGTATATCACTCGTATTTTTACAAACCCTCAACTTTCACCCATCGCTCATCAATTTTTTGCATCTTGCGCCCTGTTCAGGAGTTGCAAAGTTCGATTTTATTGTTCCCTCCCTTTTTTCACCACTTCAACATTACTCTATTGTTTGCAACATCAAGGATGTCAAGTACTAATTTGCCTGGAACCAAAACAAAGGCTCGCATTTTAAAGAGGTGTACCTACAGGGATGTAGGACAAGGCGCATGCAATCATAAAAACCATCAGATATTTACATTAACGGTTTCAGAAATTCCCAATTTAATGTTAGCTTCATATGCATCATTCGTACTTTGCATTACATAAACTCATTCTACACGAAGCTTGAAAATCTAGCTTTCAATTTAAAATAAGCCCACCAGTACCTATCTGCAGTCTATCAATAGAATAATAACATTAGGAATAGTGATCATGGAATACAAGACATACAATTTGGAAGGGCATTGGATCAAATGGGTAGAACAACCACTGTGTGAATATTCAACTCACGACCGGGTCATAGCTCAACTCATATAAAGGATCTCCTTGAAGGTGAGTTTGGCTATTGTTACAAAGTTAGTTTTAGGCTAATTGTGTTACTCTCAGAAGCAAGCGGACTCCCATACCCATTATACCAGAGAGGCACTATCACAAACTACCAAAGGAATACAAGTTACAAATTTAACATCAAAATCAATGCTTGGAACGATATCAAGGTAATAATTTGCCCGAATTATGAAGGCGAGATTATGTTTCATTAGAAGTATGTTGAGTTCCCATCGTATGAATGGCGTCCAAGACCTGACAGAAATGTTATCTGAATAAAAGACTAGCAGAAATAGTTTTGAACAGCTAGATTTAAACTCGGGTGAATTACTCTTGTAGCAAAGATTTGAGACGGACATGTCAAGTTTGGAGTGGGGAGGTTACTAGATCATTGGCTACTTACGTAATGCCAAGAGTGCGACAAAGTTATATAATGACGGTAACATTGACATTGAACATTCGTAGACGGAATTATTTGTAATAATGGCTGGTGGATTATTTTGTGCGTTGGAATGAAATGCAATAAACAGGGTCTTGAGTCAATTACAGGTTAACACTACAAACTATGGATAATTGTCAAGACATTTCTTGTATGGTGAATTGGGCAATACATCATAGTTTGAGTCCATTCTCCTGGTGCGCGCATGCGCGCGTAGTCTCTAGTATGGAAAAATGAAGTAATCCTCAATTGTCAATATTTCTACATCCTTTTTGTTTGTAATCTCCCTATGCACTTGTTCCTCATTCAATGTATCTTATTCTTCAGGTTCACAGCTTTCTTTAATACAAATCTTGGCTATTTTATCTTATTATTTTCTCATCTCACTCCTTTCCCCTTGCTTCCCAACTCTCTTTAAAACTTGGTTCATTTTCAATCTCTCTGCTTTTTCCTGACCGGCTCAAGTAATCCATAAACC